TTTTGAAAATCTAATTTACCCTTAGAAGACAAATTTACTTGAGTGTTTGAAGATATGACAAAGTGACCTTGAGGACTGGAAGACTGGAAATAGTATAGCCTGAGCCCCCAGGCTTCCTGGATCCCCTGGACAAACCTCAGCTGAAGCTCTGTAGAAGCAAGCAGGTGATCAATGTTTATCATTTGTGTCTAGAGCCATAGCCTAGGCCTCTTATGTTTAAAGTTTTGTTGGTTTATTTGATGGGACAGGGTCTCCACATGTAGCCCTGGCTGTGTTAGAACTCATTGGGTAGGCCAGGTTGGGCTAAAACTTGCAGCAATCCTCCTGCCTCTTTCTCCTGAGTGCTGAGATTACAGGAGTTCACCACCATGTCTAGCTTGATTAGTTCTTGAATTCATAAACGAATTTTATTACAATCTCACTTAAAATACTTTCACATTGGTGGAAAGCTTGTTCTTATGGAAAAAGACTGACTCCTCTTTTCCCATTCAGAGTTAGGAAAGTATCCCAGCACTTAGGAGGCAGAGACAGGTGGATCTCCATGAGTTCAAGGACAGCCTGGTCTACATTGCAAGTTCCAGGGAGACCCTGTCTCGAAAATACAAAAAAAAAAAATAAAAAAGAAAAAAGAAAAAAAAAAGAAAAGAAAAGAAAAGAAAGAGTAAAGTGCTGACTGTGGTGGTGCATGCCTTTAATCCCAGCAGAGGCAGATAGATCTGTGTGGATTGAAGCCAGCCTGGTGGTTTGCATAATAAATTCCAGGACAGCTGGGGCTACAGGGAGATCCTGTCTAGAAAATAATAAAATAAAATAGCAAAGCTATAAGTATTTATTAAGCAAAAGAATGGTCCTTCTAGCTAGGTACAATTGGATAATTCCAGTACTCAGGAGGCTGAGGCAGGAGATTCTCTGAAAGTTCAGGTTAGCTTGGTCTACATAGGGAGTTTCAGGACAATTATGGCTACATAGCCAAAAAACAAACTTCACTTCAATGAGTGTCTGATTTACTTGAAGAGGTAAGATTAAGTGTACTAACTATAGAGTGCCGTTAGTCAGATAAAAGAAATGGATAGATTTCCTGATTTCCACCTTTTTTAGTCTTTTTGAGGCAGATTTCCTTTTTAAAAATTATATTTAGAGTGTGTGTGTGTGTATGTATGTGTGTATAGGTCAGAAGACACTTTGAAGAAGTTAGTTCTCCCTTTCCATTATATGAATACTAGGGATTGAACTCAGGTTGTAAGGCTTTGTGGCAATCACCTTTACCCACTAAGCCAACTTGCCAACTCATGATTTCCACTTGTGGGTTTTTTCGTAAGCAATGATGCTATATAAAACAAAACATTATTTGGCTGGCACTTAAAGAGCACTGAGGTGATTTCCAATTCATATGACCCTTTTCCTCTCCTGGAAATAGAATACTACCAAACACAAATGTGCTTGAGGTTCTATGAAGCTTAAGATTAATGAGCATAACAGCTTTCATATTCCTTAAGAATGTTTGTTCAAAATGTCAACATTCATTTACAAATTGCCTTGTTCAGCCATCTCAAAGAAGCAACAAGAATGTTGTCAAATGGTACTGGAAATATATGAGGTATTTTCTTTGAGTTGAATTATTTCCCCCAAATTGTCTAGATGTAAGCATTAATCAATTGTCTGCATTATATCATGTTGTGGGAAGGTGATTGGACAAAGCTTTGTTACTGGGAACTTTTTTTTTTTTTTTTTTTTTTTTGAGAAAGGGTCCCACTCTAGCATCCTGGTCTCAAATTCTCAATCCTCCTGCTTCAGCTGGCACTGTACTCACAGTACATGTATGAACACACATACATAAATTAAATAGGTAAATAATTGTTTTTAAAGGTAACTGAAACCTGGATGTGGTGGTGCATGTCTGTAATCCCCACACTTGGGAAGTAGAGGCATGATTATCAAAGGAGTTCAAAGTCAGCCTAGACAGCCCAAGACCCATCTCAAAACAAATCAAAACAAAATGTTAACAACCAAAAAATGTCATTTAAAATTGATAGAAAAATGTCACTTCCAACTCCTTTCAAAGGGCAAAGTCCAGTTTACAGATTCCTAAAGGAACCATGCTGTAACAGCAGCAAAAGGTCGGTAGGTGGCTCTGCTCTTTTTAAATAAAACCAAGGTCCACAAAAGATACAGTTAGGAAACACAACAACCTTAGTAGTTAGAATCATTAATCAAAACAATAAAGCATATTCTATAACTATGGCCTCTCATTCTGAATAGTTTGGAGCTACTGGCTTGAGAATTCGACCTTGAAAAAAAAACTGTAAAATTGAAAACTATATATGGGTAACAATTTGCTAAAAGGGAAGATATTACATTCTGAAGAACAATTATAGAAGGGGCTATGACTTCAGAGTTTTCATGATTTACTGCCATTTAGAGTGAAAGAAAACTAGGAGTTGAAACTTTTGAAAGCTCATTTACCTGTATCTTTGTACTTTTCTTCAAATTTTACAGAATAAAATATATTTTAAATTTATGTGTAAAAAAAAAATTTTATTATTGCTCTCTATGTTCCCAGCTTTTCTTTTGTACCCTCTCATTTTAGCTTTCCTTAGACCTTTACCCAGAGCAAATGTTCAGTGTGGGCATTATAACACTAAAAACTGTTTTCCTGTTTCCTGGGTCACATTTTTCATTTTTCTTAACATTCCAGGAAAAATCTCAAAATAAAACCAGAGAACTTTGTTTCAAGCCATTTGGAAAAGGAGAGTGGAAAGCATGGTTTTTACTTAAATAGAGAAGGAATAGATCTTTAAGCCAAAATACAATAAAAAACACTATTTTTTCAGTATCTTCTAAAAAAAAAAAAACAATTCGAAGAAACAGTGTTTTATTGTTGACAATTCCTTTCTGATTCCAGAAAAGATGGCCAAAGAGTTACATTTGAAGTGAGAGATGCATTTTAGGTATTCAAAGTTTCTAAGTAGTTTTTTAATTTTTAAAATCACACTTATGGCCGGGCGTGGTGGTGCACGCCTTTAATCCCAGCACTCGGGAGGCAGAGGCAGGCGGATCTCTGTGAGTTCAAGGCCAGCCTGGTCTACATAGTGAGTTCCAGGACAGCTGGGGGCTACAGGGAGACCCTGTCTCAAAAAGACCAA